ATAATTAGCCTCTTATTTATGTCACATAATAAAATGTTCACTTTGTCTGGTTTTGTTGCAGCATGCCCCATATATATTAATATCACATACCAAATGGGAGGATTGGGGATCTAATGGCAATGTGTCATATTTGATGGGACTATGCCAGATGTCAGAATCTAATAATGAATTACGGCCTCCAACCTGTTCGAGGATATCAATTGCAATAGGTGATCTAGCAAGCATCTAGAGCAAAGTTTCAGATGTTTCCCAATTGAAAGGGTTGCTTGGATTGATTGGCATCTTACTTAGCAAATTCTAATACATCAAGTTACAAGGAAGTGAAGTAAGAATACAGCAACAATGACAAGAAAATTTTATGATATTGGAGCACTCATCACTCACCTGAAGATACTCTAAGCATGTGTTTGTGTTAAAGATATGCTGAGCTGTACTGTATGGTGAGAAAAAATAGCCATTGTAGTGGTGCACCATGATATGGAAGTGTTTTTCAATGTCACTGTTTGAGCAGCATAGTTTCAAAGCAGAATGCACATCACCATAACTGAGGCCACAGAACCCAGCAAGATTGCTATTGTCAGAAACATTCGTTGCAATATTAAAACCACTAGTAACATCAGCCAGTGAGACTGGCAACACTCCAGTAATAAAACATTTTTCAATCTTTTGGTAGCCCATGTTGGACTTTACACATGCCCAGAAGTCCTTAAGTGAGGACTTGCCCTGGATCTCATTATAGGTTGTAGTGTCATTCAGATTCAAGTATTCATTGGCAAAGGCGTCATATTCATCAGCTAAGAGGTATATCTATAAGCAAACACAAGTTAGACGATATGAGTGACAACTATTATTTTCGCGGCATGACGAGATCTGCTATATTAATATATTTACACCCTTCACACCAGCCAGTGGGTGGTTTTTGTCTCCTCTGGGCACCTTTCGGAGCACCTTTTGGACAACAGTAATGCATTTTGTAAGACTGTAGATAGCATTACCAGTGACTATGTTTTTCGCGATCAATTGTTCATCTGTGTTGTTCCCTAGATAATCTGCATATGTAGCGTGTCGGACTAGCTTACACCTGGGAGAGCGGCGGTGTACTAGCCGTTTTGGGATTTAGTTCGTTTCCAACGGAAGCT